TACTATTTCTGGGAGAAGTTGCATATGACTTGGGCAGTGTTTATGCAGGTTGTTGCCGCGTGCCCCCTATATATGGGGAAGAAGGTGACACATTACAGGTTGTCGTTGCCTGTGGAGCGGGTGATGGCCTTCGCATTGTGCTTGTGAGCCTCCGGAAGACTTATGAAAGCGGGACATCATCATTCGGCATCGGCAGGGTTTCTGGTTTGGTTGCTGTCCGCGACGTTATGTCCGCGTTGCTAAAGGCATACCCTGATCGTGTGGCTGGCGGGATGTAGGGGTGCGCAAGTATTGCGCGCCTTCAGGGAGAAGGGTTTCCAAAACACCTATTGTGCAATCTATTGCATTCATATTTACATTGACAGGCCTGCGAATACTCCATCAGAAAACTACTACGATCGAAATCAGAATTTTTCAGTTCAGGCGCAGGTCGTTGCCGATTTGGACTTGTGTGTCCTTGACGTTCACGTCGGATATCCCGGGAGTGTGCACGACATCTGTCCTGCACAACTCACACTTGTGGAGGTGTGCAGATAACGGGGAGTTGTTCAATGGACCACTGAAGTATCTTCCACAGGGCGTTGTGACGAAAGGCTACCTTCTCGGCGATTAATGGCTATCCAATCGTGTGTCCATGGATTGTGCAGCGGTACCGTAGAACCCACCAAGGTCCTGACGAGGAGAGCTTCGACACCAAGTAGAAGGCTGCGCGCGGTTGTGTGGAGAGAGCATTCGACCGCCTGAAGTGCATGGGTGTTTGGTTATGCCAAACAAAAATGAAAAATCGCAAGAAATGGCGGTGTCGAAAACGTGCTCGTGCACTCACTAATTTTAATTCTTTTTTTTTTTAGTATTAATTTTTCATATTTTATTTTAATAACAAATTTTGTAAGGAATCAGGATTTTTTTTAATTTTTTTTTGTCTGCGTTCGTCCTGAACAGGCGGACGTATTTCCAAGGGGTTCTGTACGTTCGGGCGTTTGGCCCGTCCCGAACGCCGGCCACCCTGACTGTAACTTCTTATAACATAATAATATAGTCCAATTAAAATATTTTATGAAATCATCCAGACCTTAACTCATTATCAAGCATGCAGTTCAAACAGAAAGGGATAGCACATTCTTAGAAAGAAAGTTTTTAAGCAAGCTGGATACATTTAAAAGTGGAATGATATTTTTTAAGATGTAATGATAATTTAAATTTTAGAATGAATTTTATTATGGGATGTTATTTATTTTTAGAAAGTTTTTCTGTTCATTCATCACCGGATTCTGCAACAGTTTAGAGCCTCTGAAGTATAAACTCCTAATATCCTATGTAGTATTCTTTACTATCTGTAGTTGTAGCTAAGTGTAGGCTACTGCAGCAAGGTCTGCTTCTAAGAGTAGCATATCACTACATGGCCCATCAGTAGAGCTCATCAACCGATTACAACCGTCTTTTTTTAGATTACCACATAGCTGAGTGACTGCAGAAATTTCCACTTCCTGCTTAGAAACTAGAGGACGTGTGCGTAAGCGTTCGCTGGGCTTCCATTTGTGTACTTGACAATATGACCAAATAAACATGGATATGTAGTTGCTGCTGTACTTACGTATCGAAAGGCTTGATTGGAGGTAGCTTTGTCAAAAGGCGTTTTAGGCAGTAATGCGATATAGCAAACCAAGCTGCAGTATGGGGACTTCTAACAATCATTTTTCAAGCACTGGAATTGAACCAGATGGCTCACCATAGCCGCAGCACTACGAATCCCCTCAGTCGGCGACCACGTCGTGCCGGTCGTGCACAGGACCCCCCAGTCATGACCGGGACGGTCACGGCCTTTGCGGCCATCTGGCAGCCCGTAGGGGGGGGGTTCCAGGGTGAGGGTTTGGGATTCGGGTTGTGCAACACCCTCCCTACCTTGTAGAGGGAAAGAAAAAGATGGTGTTCACTGTTCACTGAAAAAAAAATTATTTTCATAAAAAAAACGAAAATTTATTGATTGATTCATTAATTGCTTGATTGATCTATAAATAAATAAAAAATGCTGGCTGTGTCCACCCATAAGTGTGTGTATGTGTATGTGTGCGCCCGCATGCATACACTTATACACACACACACACACACACACACACACACACACACACACACACAAAAGAAAAAAAAAAAAACAACAACAACAACAACAACAACAACAACAACAACGCTGCATCCCTGAGTACCTGAGGCCAGAACGATGAGTCCCTGAGTACCTGAGGCCAGATGCCTAGGGGTCCTTCGCTGTGAAACTTGGCAAAACGCTGTGTTTTTGTTTTTGCTGGTAAACTATGGGAACCCGGTAAAGCCGAAACGAAACCTCAAAAAAAAAAAAAAAAAAAAAAAAAAAAAAGGAAACGAAACCTCTATTTTTGCTAAGGAAACTTCTAAAGGACAACATCTCTGCTGCCAAACTTGTAAAAAGCAATATTTTCGCAATTAACCCTTTTTTTGGGGAAACTTCAGGTCCGACTGTTGTGGGGGAAAGGATGTTTTACACGGTCCGGAGTCCCACTAGCAGCGTTGAGTTACCTCAACCCCTGAATCTGGTCGTGTTCGTGGAGATGTGCAGAATGTGCAGAAATGGCGTTGAGTTTCCTCAACTGCACATGGCAACAAACACGTCCAGATTCAGGCGTTGAGGAAACTCAACGCTGGTATTGAGACTTGGCCCTGGGAAAGATCAGGGAGCGGGAATCCTCGCAAATAACCTGCCGCCAGGTCCCAGTAGCTGAGAGGATTGGATGTAGTGCATGAATCTGGATGTGTTCGCGAAGAGGTGCACAAAATAGTTATTGAACTGCTTTTCTGCATCTTTCCTTAGAACCCATCCTCATTCGGGCACTTAATCCAATCCCCTTTGCTAGTGGGACCTTGCTCCTGGAGACGTACTGGGGCCCCAACCCAGCTTCGGCGTGTCCTAGAAAACAGGTCCAGCGTCCCATTACTTCCCATGCTGTAAACAATCCGGCTTCTGCTGGAAAACGGGTCCGGCAATACACGACAGAGTAACACACCTACTGAAAACGAACTGACAGCGAGGGACATAGAACAGGCACACAAACACACACACACACACACACACACACAGAGCGAGAGAGAGCCTGTGTCGCCGCCCGTACATCGTACGGGGGGTCCCGGTACGGGCCGTACGGACGGACGTACATACGCTCGTATGGCCGTACGGACGCTCCCCGTACGTGCGTGCTACGGGCCTGTGGGGGGGTGCTGGGGGGGGGTTAAGGGGTTGGGGTGTGGGAACAGGTCAGTGGGTGCGGTGCTGTGCTGTAGAAAAAAAAATAAATAAAAAAAATTTGGGTGAAAAAATGTCCGTGCGGGCCTCAGCCTGGCACCCACTGCCGCGGCCCAGGGCAGTTTCGGAGGCCCTCCAAAACTGCCCTGGGCCGCGGCAGGCTGAGGCCCGCGGGGACACGGCCAGTCATTTTTTTTTTCTCTTTTTTCACCCAAAAAAAGAGGGAGGCACTGAGGCAAAGGCCAAGGACGTCTGCTTTAAAGTGAGGTTGTGAGCGTCAACATCCACAGTTTTGTGGTGTCGCCCACATTCCTGTTGAGGCTGTTGTTGCGCACGCAACAGTGCTCGTGGACGTTGTTGACGGCATGACACACACACGCACACACACACACACACACACACAGAGAGAGAGAGAGAGAGAGAGAGAGAGAGAGAGAGAGAGAGAGAGAGAGAGAGAGAGAG